ATTCCAGTTTGAACGGATAAATCCATTCGAAAGTATTGAACTTTTTTTCGGTCTCACCAAGACCTATTTCATATCTCACGGATGCATAAGGATATTCATCCTATTTTTAACTGACAATCATATTTTATGAGTTTATTTCAAATTTAGCTGCACCCTCATCTATTCAACCAGTTACCTCAAGTACTACTACATTAATGGATGAATTAATGGCAGGTACAAGACGAAACAATAAAAAACATCATAGTAGTCATTCAAATTCAAGAGAATCTCAAGTTTGTTCATCAGTTATTTTTGTACTGAATAAAATATTCGAATTTAATTTTTTAGACACTTGATTTATTAGAAAGATTTCGTGTAAAAGTTCATACTGCTAAAGATGAACAAATTAGTGAATCTTTAAATGAAACACAATCAGAACAAATAGCTGATAAAGTTCAAACATCATTTTTAAAACATACTTTTGTATCTCAAGAATTATTAGATAATGTTCAAGATATTTATACGAATACTGAATTATTAACTATTAATGATCCAAGAAATCCAATGACTAAACGACGACGAGATGAAAGTAGTATGTTACTTCATCAAAAAAAAAACATAAAGGACGTACATAAAACAATGTTGTTGTGTTGTTCATCTGTGCATTATGTAATTTCTTTTGTTGATGATATAAAATAAATCGTTCCATAGAAAATACAACAAGAAAAAAAAAGGAATTATTTTTCTTTATTGTATTCAGATAAATTATGCAACATTCATGTTCACATACATGCCAACATGTTGATGAAACAAATGTTGGTCACTGGAATTTATATACAAAAATTGATAAATATAATTTACAATGTTATAATGAAAAACATGATGATTCAGGTAAAGATGTATTTCGAGCATGGGAAGAACAACTTGATCGATCAAAAGTATATTTTGTATTTGATTTAATTAAATAAAATATTATAGATAGGTTTTTTTTGAAAGGTAGTTGAAAGTGATGATGAACAAGAATTACTTTTCAGTATACCATTTAATGGTGCTGTGAAAATAACTGGCCTATGTGTTATTGGTGAAAATGATCCATCACATGCAAATACAGTTAAACTGTATGTGGATAAATTATTTCAATAAAGTAGGAATGATGATTTATATATATATATACATATGAATAGATGGAGTAATTTACCTGAATTACGTTTTGATAATACACGTGGAAAAGCTCATCAAGAAATTTCACTTACATATGATCCATCGGGTACATTAGCTTATCAAGTCAAGTAAATATTTTTATTCTTTGAAAAAAATTTTAATCAAATATGTATTTTAGTCTATCACATTTTTCACGTGTAACACATCTATCTTTATATTTTCCTTTGAATTTCGGTGATGAAACAACTAGTATTTACTATATTGGTCTTCGTGGTGAATATCTTGGTGTAAGTGAATGTTATATTTCAATATGATTCTGTATGATTTTTTT